TGCTAGTCACTGCACAGCATGAACAAACATCTGGCTGCTAGCCCTGTGGCAGCTTTTGTTGTTGCACTTTGGTATGTTTTCCATCTTGACACTTGACCTGCCAAGATTCCTGATACACGACAGAAGTACAAATTACTTGGGCAAAGCTGCGCTGCGTTAACTCAAAGTGGACTGACAGAAACCAGGTTGCCACGGCGATATTTACACGCTAATCTCATGGCGTTAAAGGCGCAACATGTAAGCGTTCTATCGCTCACTAGCACACAACTTCCATAATATCAACGATGAACCCGATTCTCAATGAATGAGGTCAGGGAGGATTTCTTGCTTTGAAACTCACAGTCTGTGTTCTTTATTTTCATCAGAACAACATCATCAACAAAAGTCATATTTAGCTTCCAACAACAGATAAAATGAGCGTGCGGCCAGTTTCACAAGGCATTTCATATGTCTACTGGTGCGGTCGTGCAGTCGCTGTGTAGCGTCTAAAACATCTGTTGAAGACTTGTACTTTGTTTAGTATAGTTCCAGTGAATTGGATCTCATTCGAGTCTTCTTCTGCTGCTAACACTGACTTCCAAGCAGCGAGGCAACATACACAAGAAGACGTCTCGGATATCAAGGAGAAAAATGTTGATTTTCCGGTTCCGCAGGCCGGTGCAGTTGGTTGCATTCGGTCACTTTGAAAACACACCACATAATACCAGTTTGGTAGCAATGAAGAGGCATTAAAATCATGATATTCATTTTGTTGGAACATCTAATACTGAAATAAGGTATTCAGTCATGTTAAAGTAATAGTTTGCTTTGTTGCTGGGTTACATGAGCAGACATCACTCTCTTGTGTGCGTGTTAAATATCCCAACCCGGTAAAAATGATGCTTCCTGTCCACTTAAACTTTTCTATGGGCTCACGGCTGCAGAACAATCTTCCCCCTTTGTCCTCTTCTCTATCAGGACATGATGGACCTCAAACAGATTTCTGATGTGTAATAAAAACATAAACCGGAAGTCTTTTCCCATTATTATTACATTATTGGCGATGCAGCGCTGTTTGTATAGTTATGTCATTTTGAAAGTGCAAGCATGGCTCAGTCCAAACGGAACAAAATCTGTCAGCCGGCACTTTTGAATTTCAGCTTCATTTCTCGTTTGACTAATGTGCACAACACGCCATCAACACTCACAACACATCTGTGATGTCGTCTCTGCACAGTGGACAGATTCATCTCCTGTGAGTCACGTCTGAAGTCTGTTTGCTGTGAACGTCTGGAAATTCCCCGTCTGCGCCGCTTGACTTGTTGCTACATGTAAAAAAATATTTTCGACTCTTCCCTTTAGACAAACATGTTACGGATTGGATAATTATTGTCTTCCGCAAAAGAATTAGGTCAGATTATGCTTTCCTCAACATATTTTCCCCCTGCAATCAACACCTGGGGCATCACGATGCGAGCTGCTGCGAAACACGAAGACATGGGAAGCTCCTTGTCAGCGGCTTCCTGAGAACAGGATACCACTTGAGCAGCGCTCCTCTTCCTCGTCTATTGTGTGTGTGTGTGAGTGAGGATGTGAGAGCCAAGGAGAGGAATCCGTCCCACTCCTTCCAACACTATCAGTTACATTCCTCACCAACCTTGCGGTGTCAGATGACCTTGTATTCTGTGTCATTCTTTCCCACGCGGGCATCCTGTCCCATCCAGCCGCTTCAGCTCGGTGCGATGCGTGGATCCTAATTACAGTGGGCTGTGGCTGATATTCATCACCAGCCTGTTGAGTTGTCTCAACAGTGTTTTTTTTATTTGCAGACTGGCCAAACCATCTTTAGTTTGATTCATGGTAGAGTTGTATTATATTTGTCGAATAGAGGGCGAGTGTTTGAATCGGTGATATATCCAAAGAGGCTTTGTTCCGTACGAACGGTGAGTCAATGGAACATTGTTTATTTTTAAATTGAGCTCTTTCATTCTCTCATTCGATCTGTGAAGACGGCTCCGCACCTTCCCTTTGGCTCGTGACATCGTCAAACAAAGCGATGTCTACATGTGACCTCCCACTGCCAGTTGTTTGTTAATAAGGCCGCTCTACCAAAGTGTAATCCACACACGAAGCCGTTTATTAATATGCGAGGGGAGACCGGAAGTGCTCCTGCTCGTTTGGTCGGCCTGAAAGATCTACCTGGAAAGTGAGGAAGAAGAAAATCCAGTTCATGCAAGTCCGAACATGAGTAATGAATCAATTATTCACAACACAGCTGATCCTCCGGAGAACTGTCAGAGGATTTTAAACTCACGTAGTGTTAAACTGCAAGTCGAACTTTCACAGAATTACAGGCAAACTGTATTCTACAATTAGCGGACAACTGTACGGATGTATGTATTTGTGTGTCATATCATTATTATCACAGTCATTTGTACTGGAAGCACATTGACACACACACAGCCTCGCCTCACTTGGAGAAAAAAATGTTGATTCTGACTTCAAACAGGGCTCAGGTGCTACATTTAGAGTGAGACGGTTTCCAACTGTGTAACTGGCGGTTTCACTGTCTCATTTATTCTCTTGTTTCCACCAAAACCTCAACAGCAATTGGATTTTACTGCGTGAAGCAACAAGATAATTACGTTTCACTCTCCTCAAGGGAACTCTTTTTAGCACAGAATAACTTTATAATAATAAGAAGAAGAATTTTTGTCTGCTCTGGGGTCGTCTGCAGACAGTCACCGAGGAACTTTGTGGCCATTTTAGATTTTCATCTCCTGTAATGACTTTCATGAAAGCGTCCATATTTCCAAACGGGTCAGCCTTGCATTCCTGCAGAGGTTCACAGGAAGTGTCGCACAATGGAGTACAAAACGGCCAGAGGCGTTGTCCTCCAGCAGAGACACACACACACACTCACACAGAGGTCCAGAGGAAGTAGTGGGGTGGTGTTAAATGACACGACCAGACCTTTAAAAAAGGTGGAGACTGAGCTTCTCCCCTCGGTGTGGATCCGAAGAGGAAATGCAAACATGTTTCTATTTTGCTGACCAGTCGCCTCCGTGTGAGCGCCGCCCACAGAGACGCAGTGTCTGCGTGTTCGTCAAAAAAGGGCCCACTTTAGTGTGCAGCATCTGAAACATGACGGGAATGTGTGTGCGCGTAGGTGTGTCTGTGTGTGCGTGTGTTTAATTGAGGAGTAAAGAGCCAGGCCGAGGATGTGGACACATCGGTTCAATACAGACTCATTGTGACTATAGATTTGAAGCTTAATGAGATAATCAGCCTGAAGCCAGTGGGCACATCCTGTAGAACGATCGATGGCCGCTGTGCTTTGATTGCATCCATTTGTGTGTTTTCTGATGGAAGTTTCTGGAGGGAAAAGGTGGTAAATAAAGACGCATGATGGCACTTTCTGTCCTCCCCATCCCAGACACGGCTGGTGTGTCATGGCTCAAATCTCTGCCATTATAACGGCCCACAGTAAAAATCAGAGTCCTCGTCCAAAGTCCTCAATACAGCCTTTAACTGCAAGCGGGTAATAAATAGTTCAGTCTTGTCTTTTGGCTCCGACAGAAATAAAGCCCGCCATAAAGATTTGCTTCTTCCTTGAGGCGGGACGTTTTTTTTCATCCTCAAGAAAACTTAAATTGATGACTAAATTGAAATGACTCAATATGAGAATGGATGAGGGGTTAATTACCCTCCCGACTTTCCAACTATCTCTACATGTTGTGACTCCGTGTGTGTGACCCGGTCCCAGCAGGAGGACAAGCCCTGCGTTTGAGATCTCTTCCCATCTGTAGCGTTCTGCAGGCCGGGCCCCGTGTGGTGTGATGTCGGGTACAAAGAGCCACTGTGTGCTGTAACGGGGCACACGCAGACCTCACATTTCAGAGGACAGCTGCCACACACCACACAGGGACACACACTCACACTAACAAACACACAGCTTCAACATACTTTCACAAACTAGATCCACACTTTATCCATGGTGTCCTGCAGTGAAGGCAAGCAGCTTGAATTCCCCTTAGAGAACAAAAAATACGAGCAACCTAGTTCTAGAAGTTCAGAGGTCGGCGTTGAGGATCTCTTCCTTCCTCTATCTGTCACATAACGAGTCACAAAAAACACACGGGAGAGACAATAGAGGGACAATAGAGGGACACTCAACGTTACTGGTCATTTTTATTCTCTACAACGACGAATACCAAATGCAAATACCTTTTTACGCTCTAGATAGTTCAGATTAAGGCTTTACATGCTAAATAAAAAGAGTATATGTATACATAAATACACATATATATATATATATATATACATACATTTATATATTCAATTTACAGAATAGAATTGTGCTTTAAGTTCAACATTGTCATTTTATGTGCTGCAAGAGTAATTATTGTGCTCTCTCTTTTTTAATGTTTATGTGCAACTAACTTATTCAACAGTTAAAGTTACTTTCAGATGAACGTTCTACATTGAAAAAGAACAGTGCCAGTTTTTAACTTACATGATTATCTCATAATCATTATTGATGTATCAATAATATCCAATGCGATATACCTTTGACAGGTGCGTCTGGATTCGCCGTTGAGCTTTTCACATGTATCACGTGTGTGGGATTTGATCATAATAAGTCACGTGACATACAGTCTTATCATAAAGGGCAGATAGGAGATCATCTGTAGGACTCCACACCTGGGAGACTCACACGGAAAACAATCAACCTTGATGAAGATATTTATTTGTGATTTAGGACATAACTGTCCCTTCGGCTCTTGTTCGGCTTTTTGTTGAAAAAGTCATATTTTGAACGCTAAAGCGTTTACTTTTCTTAACACTTTCCCCGAATTCTTCTTCTGTCACTCAAGGAGCAACCGAGAAAGTAGTGGAAGCGCAACTCGTGCGCAGGAATCCGGGACAGAAAGCTCGTCTGCTCCGTCATACACCTCCTCCCCTCCCCTCCCCTCCCCTCCCTCGCTCCCTCGCTCCCTCCCTCCCGTGTGGTTTCACGCGTTTGATCCCAGAGGGACCTCGCGCTTTACATTCCTGGCATTCCGGCCCGAGTCCCTCCTCGGTTACTTATTATCGCCTCCTGCTCCCTTTCTCTCCACACAGAGGAGCGCGCAGCCCGGCCGCGAGGACCCGCACGAGACACGTCGGACCCGCGAGGACCGAGGGGGGAGACACGCGCACACCACGACTCATGGAAATAGAGGAATTATTCTGACTCGTTTTGCCCTTTACGTTGATATCGGGGACGTTTCGTTACGATGAGAACGTGAGCTGGTAAGAAAAGACTCTTCTTCTTCTTCTTCTTCTTCTTCTTCTTTCGCCACAAACAGGGAGAGAAAAGTAAAGCTCCGTCGTAACTTCTGCTTTTGAGGTCGTAGTGTGTTGTTGAGCGACTACGCGCGATAAACGGTGTTTTTATCACGGGCATTTGCGCCGTGAGACCTGGAGATGAAGTTATTTCGCGGTTTTGTGCGCTTTTGCTCCCCCGTGAGATCGGAATTCTTGGCCCGTGCATTTTTTTTTTCTTCGGCTCGCTGTGGAAAAAAAATGTCTCCACATCTCTGTTTTGTCGCTGTTGGTGAGCAATGTTTTAACATTACTATAATACTTAATAATAATGGTAGTTTACATTCATTATTAGTATTATGTTCTTATCCCAATAGAAGGCGTTGTTGTTGTTGTTGTTGTTTCCTGCCTCTCATCTAAATGAGACTTCATCAATATCCAACTGTCTCCTGTTAAACATGTACATGTCTCATTCTGCTCTGTTCCAGGTTGGCAGCCGATTTACATAACAAAACATTTTAAAAATAAGAAAGAGTTTGACTGTTCCCGTAGAGAAGATCCCAGCGTACACAAAGCATTATGTCGTCCACCGAGGAGCCGTCTGGCACGGTCCTGCACCGGCTCATCCAGGAGCAGCTTCGCTACGGAAACCCCACGGACACCCGCACCTTATTGGCCATCCAGCAGCAGGCCCTGCGCGGAGGCAGCGGGAGCGGACCCAGCAGCGGAGGCGACCTGGGCAGGAGCCCGCGGTCCTCTTTGGAGAGCCTCACCCAGGAGGAGCCCCCGTTCCCTCAGCTCTCGGCCAGGCAGGAGCCCCAGGGCCAGGAGCACCAGGGCGACTACCAGCACTCGGAAAGCGGCTACCAGCTCCACCAGCTGCACGGGGAGGAGCTGCCCACGTATGAGCAGGCCAAGGTGCACTCTCAGTATCTGGCCTCCCACTGGGCCCCTGCGAGCCCCACGGGGCAGCTCCGCGATGGGCCCCTGCATGAGGGGGCCTTCCACGAGGAGGCAGATCTAATGGGGCTGAAGTGCAGCCACGTGCGGTCGCTCAGTGAGCACTGCATGCAGATATCTCTGGAGAGGAATGATCTGGCTGCTAAAGCAGAGGCCGTCAAGAGCGCCTCTCACAGCTACCCGGAGCTGGCTTACTACACGCCGCAAGGCCTCCAGAGCGCCAGCCAGGGCAAGCGCACCCCGCCTCCCGAGTACTCTGCCCCCATCCAGGGCCACGGATTCATCCCTCACCAGGTCCAGGAGCCGACGCAGGCGCAGCAGCACAGGTACAAAAAACAACTTCAGAGGGTGTGTGTGTGTGATGCATTTCTTTAACCGCTTCAACGTGACATCATATTCTTTGGTGTAGTTTTTTGTACCAGCGCCAAAACTTACATTCACCTCCGGCGAGTCATTGTGCTTCACATGCGTAAACACATACTTCTCAATGCGAGTCACCAATTCGCTTCTTGGAATACTTCGAACAGGTCCGGCCCTGCAGGTGTTTTGTAATGCCTGGCATAGTGGAACAGGATAGGTTCACATGCTTGTGTCGCTGTCGATGCCTCTGCTAAAGTATGTTCCTCATATAGGCTTTAACATTCTTCACGGCCAACAGAGTCGGCGCGTCTACTCCTTCACAGACGGGAATAGAGGGATATTTCAGATGTGTTCTCTCTAAAATAGCCCGAGCGGGCCGCGCCAAATGTTTTGAATCGGCCTCAAGTTCAGATGCTGGATTAAAGAGTTTGTTTTCTGGTCCCGTAGGTACGTCCAGTCGGGTCAGCCAGCTGAAGTGCCCTGCTACAGCACCTTCACCAGCCTTTCACCCGCTGGCTTGGAGGAGCCCAACCAGGTGGAGCTGCTGCTGATGGAGAACGAGAGGCTGAGGCAGGAGCTGGAAGCACACCGGGAAAAGACCGGCCGTATTCAGAAGGTAAGCAGAGGCCCATCTGTTAATTCTGGAGAGTTTCGTTTGACCCGTTAAGCTCAATACGAAAAGCAGGGGTTGTCACAGCATCCACACCTCAGTTTCAGAGGGAAACAATTATCAGTCATTTAGCCGCTCATCAGCCAGACGTCGTCCTCCACCCCCCCCGCACCTGTCTGCGAAACCCAACCCCGGGCAACAGTTGTCTCACCGAGGCCCAACTCCAGGCCCACTCCCTCATCTGGACGGGACAGATGAGATCAGCAGCTGCTACCTTCTATGCCACAGAGGCACAACTAGAGGTCACAGCCTGCTACTGTGTTTACACACTCCCCTCATTGTGGCGCTGACCTTGTCGAGGCCGGAGTGTGTGTGTGTGTGTGTGTGTTTTAGTTCCAGTAAGGCCATAGATTTTTTCCTAATCTAGGGCTCGTCTGACAGCAGTTGACCCGCACACACAGCTGATGGGGGTGGGGGGGTCCGTAGCAGGTGGTGGGCTGCTGTGTAAAAAAGTGAAAGGTCACTTGTTGTTTTGGCCACCAAACAACACCGAGCCACTTTTCCACCCTCTCCCTTTTTGTTAAGGACTCTCCAACCAAACAGGCCTTCCAAATGCATCTTTTCTCCATCCGAACGCGGCTTCAGGCCGACCTTTGCGAAAAAGAATCGACTGCCCTCTCTTCTGCAGTTATGTCACATGGCCATCGCCTTGTCTCAGCCTTAAAGAATTATAATTGCCGGGTTTGGAAAGTTTTTTTTTCCCCCGTCAGGCCGCAGCCCTGAGTAAACATGCCTGTGTGACTGCTATAATGGCGGGTTTCTCTTTGCCGTTTCCACAACCCAGGCACAGGCATGCACACCTTCCCTCCGCTGGCAGCCATCCCAGACGCGTGTGTGTGTGTGTGTGTGTGTGTGTGTGTGTAGTTGTGTGCATTTAAACTTGTTCTTTGCGCTGTGTTGTGTACGTGCACTCTCCTGTGCGCTCATACACCTGGAACCGGAGCTATCTACCTCAGGAATGTAGATATAAATCAGTCTCACAGGGAGTGGTGCAGGCTTGAATTCCTTCTCAGAATTATACTCCCCCCCCCCACACGCACACTACTCGCTGCGTGTACTGTATACACACAGTCTCATATGTACCCTGTCGTACATAACGTATCTATGCACTGTAACAACATGAATCAACATTCCAGCTCCTCCCTGGCATGTGAAGTAGGTTAACCAAAAAAAAAAATCCTCTTCTCCACCCCCCACCCCCCCCCCCCCGTCCCCTCTTCTTCTTTTCTTCCCTTCTTTTCAGTTGGAGCAGGAGATCCAGCGTATTTCGGAGGCTTATGAGACGCTGATGCAGGGCAGCTGTAAGAGGGAAAACCTGGAGCAGACGCTGAGGAGGAGGCTGGTGGCTGAGATCAGGAGGCTGCAGGACTTCAACAGAGACCTCAGAGGTATGAGCTCCTGCCGCGCAGACGCGTTCCCAGCGTAGTGTCACCTCATATTTCATAGCAGAGTCTTATTCTAAAAAAAATATCTTCGCCGCGTTGCAGAGAACCTGGAGAATGCCAGAACGCACGTCGCAAAGGAAGTCGAAGCCGCCGACCACAACCAGCATATCATGGCAAAGCTCCTTGAACAGAGTGAGTGCGCCGCTCGGCTCTCCCCTCTCCTGCATCCTCCTTTGTAATCAACATGCTTCATTGCATCGGATTGTATCACAGCATGGGGCCCTTTTTGCAGCTAAGGGAAGTCCTGCATGCAGGAATTTCTCTTGCATAACCTCAGCTTATTTGGTGAGAAGACTTAATAAAAGGAAATTCAATCCACGCACAGCTTTGCAAAGGGAAACGAGTGGCCTGTAAACCACAGAGCAGCAGTGGAAGTGAGAGAAATGAGGTTTCCCCACCTGTTGTTGGTGTAATTTATGCTGTCTGTTTAAGCAACTGGACTCCAGCAGAGAGCTGGTGTTTGTATGGCCTTGATGAGGAATGGCCTGTGCTATGTGGGTCAAAGGGATAGGGCGGCTTTCTCCCCCTTCCTCCTCCTCCTCCTCCTTCTTCCTCTCAGCATTCCACAAGTGCTTTGCTAAATGAAGAACACTGGCCACCATGTAGGAACTTTGGTGCTTGTTACTGGCGTTGGACTCAGGAGGGAGGAATAAGGGCTTGAAGCTCACATGTACTTGAGAAAAGAAACTGGGGCAGGATTTCCCCTCATAGCACTTGATCACGACCGCACTCGTCAAACGTGCCATTAACCCGCCAACCTTCGCTTCTCCTTTTTGGCTTCAGACGAAGAGCAGAACTCTGAACGGGAGCGCGTGGAGCGGGAGCTGGATCGACTTCGATCCGCCGCGGAGGAGCAGGGCCTGAGGTCAAAGCGACTCGAGGAGGCCCTGGACGCCGCTCGCGGACGGGGTCGGCAGCTCGAGGAGGAGCTGAGGAGGAAGAGGGCCTACGTGGAGAAAGTGGAGAGACTTCAGAGTGCGTTGGCCCAGCTGCAGTCCACCTGTGAGAAGAGGGAGACCCTGGAGATGAAGCTGAGGACACGACTGGAGCAGGAGCTACGGAGTCTGAGGGCACAACAGGTAGATATTCCGTCCTAAGAGACTATCAAAAAGACAGAATTGTTTGGGTTTTGTGTCATATTTAAGTGGCTCAGTTTAATATCCTCCCGCTCTCTCCCTCCACCCCAGAGGCAGTCCCAGCCACCAGGAGTGACCATGGGCTCCCTCCAAGAGCGCCTGCGTGAGCGCGAGGAGCGAATCCTGGCCCTGGAGGCCGACATGGTGCGCTGGGAGCAGAAGTACCTGGAGGAGAGCACCATGAGGCAGTTTGCAATGGAGGCGGCTGCCACGGCCGCCGCCCAGAGGTAAGCGTCGCCGACTTTAGCTTTGGAAAGGACATCCACGTATGCACGTTTTTGTTTTTGTTTTTTCCCCACCGTTTATTTGATATTAAGCCCAGGACATTATCTTTTCCTTTGCAGGGACACCACGATCATTAACCACTCGCCTTGCCACTCCTCTAACAACAGCTTCAACGAGGACCTGCCGGCGGCCGACTACAGGAACCAGGAGATGGAGAATAGGATTCGCGCTCTCTACGCTCAGATCTTGGAAAAGGACGCCGTCATCAAGATCCTCAACCAGCGGCTGCATCAGGACCAGGGGGGGAAGGACGAGCAAAGTCCCCGCACAAACCTCCTGAACACAGCGGTGGGCCACCTCCGACCGGCCGCGTCCAACCCCTCCGTCGGCGCCGTCAGCGGTAACGCGCGGAGTAGCGGTGAGGATGGCCGTGTTGCCTTTCTGTTAATAATTCATTTTGGTGCTCCTAAAGCCGAGCGGCCCGCTGTACTTCCTGCATCACTGGTAGTATTCTAGTGAAGTATTCTATACTTGAAGCGCCTCCAGCGATATACGGTTTAAATCAATGCTGACGGATGCCGTTGTCTCTTTTAGGTAAGCGCCTTTCAGATGATCAGACTTTGCCAACCTGTCAGTTCTCCACTCCGTCTGAGCCTGGAACTCTGGAACGGCGGAAGGAGGGAACGAAAGCCGAGGAGGCTGCCAGCACGAGTAAGCTCAGCAGTGGTGAGGGATCCATCAAATATACATGAGTGTGTTTGTCCATGAGGGCCGATTATATATTATGTAAGAGTATAAATCTTGAATGATAAATAATCATCATGATTAAACAAGCCTCCACAAGCTGGGATTTCACTACGCAACAGTTCTCTCTTTCTAAAGGGAGTTTGAGCCCTCGGCTTCATGGATGCTCAGATTGATTAACCGAGCCTCCTCTTAACCGGCCAATCAGATCCGTGCAGGTCATGGGTCACAGTGTGGGCTTTGAGGAATGTTCCGCGTTAGGAAATACTGTAGGTCTGTTGACTGAGCATGTTTACCAGACCGATTCTCTTTGAGTGTGGAAAATCTCTGTTAACCTTTAGTCGTTGATAGCTGAGCTCCATCTAGGACATTCTTCCACTGTTTTGGCCTCCAGAGCATTTATACAGTATATTTATTCATTCCCTCCTTTTCCCCACCAGACAAAGCCGTGCCCAAGAAGTTGCCCGTAAACCCCTTCAGAGGCCTGGATGAGCTGGAGTCGGAGGCGGTGGAAATCTTCATTTAAAGAACCCAGAGGCGGATTTCAAATGAGGGGAAGAACAAAACAATTGTGAGAATCTGTGAAGAGTGCAAGTCTTTGAATTGAGAGTGGAGTAAATATTGGATGCAAGAATATTGTGGAAGAGACCAAAGCACAAACGAACATGAGCGTATTGACGTTTTGGAGAAAGAGCTGTGCTCCGACTCCCTCCCTCTCACTAAGCTGGACAGCTGCAGGCGGTCCGCCCAGCCGGAAGACAAAAGACTAATCTTCTGAGGTACTGGACTTTATTGTGGATTGTAGTAGGGCAACTGAGAGTCCATGCTAAAATACTTGTTTATATATATATATATATATATATATATATATATATATATATATTATATATATAATTGCTACATACAATTGCTGCTCCCCATCTTATTCCCCCCTTCGTCTTGGTCTCCCAACCCAGTGAAATGAGAAGTTACATGTTTAACCAACCTGGTTTCCACATTCCCCAAATATTATCTTAAGCGTCAAGCTCTTCAATAAAAGGTTTATCTGTGTGACCTCCATTCCCCTCCGCTCCCAAAAAACACCCAATCTGAGGAACCTCATTCCCATCAAACGGATCTTATCTGTTCGAATAATTTAAGCTTGTAACTCGTGTAACACTGCTGATTCGCTCTCACTGTCCGTGTCTCCTGAGCTTGAGTAGCTCTGCCGAGGCTCGGAAACCGATGCAGACACGCCGTTGTTTGTCTTTGCATCATCGTGTTGATTTCATCAACGGTTGTTCTGAGGACTTTTTCCTTCTCTATGTATGTTTGCGTGTGTGATTACAGCATGTGATTGTGTTTCCTGCTGCGGGGGTCCTGCTGGCCGGGGCTCCACAGCGGGATGCAAGTTGAAAACTACGCCTACGTGTTGTTGTTTTTTTGTGTACTGTGAGCTTCGAACTAACAAACATGTTAATTATTATTATTATTATTATTAATATTATAATATTTTATACAGATGTTTGTATTGTTGTTGTAGATATGATGTGAGTGCTTTGAGCCGGCTGCCAAAGAGTTTTATGTGTGTCCGTTGTAAGTTATGTGCCGACAATCGCGGTCATGTCAAGCTGTACACAACCAACCAAGTGTTGACTTAAAACAGACATTTCTGTGAACTTCAAACAATATGAAGGTTTCGTACAGTTGAATTCATGCAACATTTCATAAAGCAATAAAATATTCTAATATAAATGAACCGGCTGGTTGACCGTCTGTGCTTGTTGTCGCTGACCCCTCAGATGCACTCGTAGTGGTTTGAAAGACTTTGTTATTCTGGTAAATGTTTCCCCTCACATTGTGCTCTCGTTCCACCGCAGAGAAGAGCGCTCTCCATTAATGAATGCCAGAGCCGCATTCTTTTGGGCTCAACTTTCTCGGGTGGCCTGCTCTCTTGTTCTCATTCCGCGAAGAGCGCGCTCGACATAGACCGCATTCTCACAGGGACGCGTAACCCTGCGAGCGACAAAGACCGGTTTCTCCCAGATTAGCCCGCTAACGCCTTTTGGACGTTCCTGTGAGCCTCCATACGTCCTAGACCCTTTAAACCACCTCCCGTCGACCTCGCACCCAGAGGTGTTTATCAGTGATTTCAGGATGCGGTGCGAGGATGAGAGAATGGAGAGCGCCGGTGTGTGTGTGTGTGTGTGTGTGTGTGTGTGTGTGTGTCTTTTTCCGGATGGATCTCTCTCACACACACACATACACACAAAGCGCCACAGATGTCAACTTGGACCAGTTTGGGGCGGTTTATGCAGCGCCGACAATGAGAGCTCACAATGCAGAAGGACAATGACCTTGAGAGCTTTAGTGTCATCGGGGTCCCCTGGAATGGTTTGGCAGTTGTCCCTCGCTGTGGTGGAGACGGTTTCACACATTGTGATTTATAAATGACTCGCTGTACTTTATAGTATTGGCTTGTTTTAGTTTTGGTTGGATGCCTCTGTATCGCTTTCTCAAACATGCCGCCTTAATATTAGCTTTAACAAATGGCAAATAGATCATTTATAAGCCAAAACTATTAACAAACGTTTGCTTGCCAAGTATTGGAAAGTAGAAAAGGTGAAAAATAGGCTGCAGTTTATCTGAACCAAAATCCACGCCTTTTTTACAATGTTCAACCCCAAATTCACTCCTACTAATGCTTAAAACAATCAGCTGATTGGTCATTGATTATTTGATTACTAAAAATATACAAATGCATTAAGAGTCTTGGGGGAAAACTAGTCAAAAGCAGCAATAGGTACAATAAACTATAAATACAAATGGATACAACGTTTTAAGGTATGACACACTCATCAGTCATTTTGAAGAATACAAATATACATTTTCTCATTTGCACAATCAATTGTTGTTCTTTCAATACACCAATGAACTAGTTTGCCAAAAATAATGTTTATCTGTTTTCATTTGCCTTCAGATTATGTTATGCACACAACTGTTAATGTTTTAAGAAGAAACTAGATAAGATTTTGCTGCAATGTTTCTTACTTTATTCCTCTGTAGTCCATGTATGTCGAATACGTTTGTAGTATTACGTTTAATCTCAAGCAATAAAGCCTTGAGTCCTTCTAAAGAACATATCAGAACAAGAAAACACTGCACTTATTTCCATCATTGGTGTTTTCACAAGCCACTAACTTAGCCAAGCACCCTTCATGCTTAAGTGTCCTCGAGCAAAACACTGAACGTCAACAACTCTGCAGGCGCTGATTCTGTGCCGTGACCCCCCATGGAGAGAGGAGGTCAAACACTGAATGTCTATGTCAGCACTGCACAATTTCTTTGTGTCACACCGGTTGCAACATAGTTAAACAAGAGCATAAAATTGTGCGCACGCCCCATCCAAGCACGAGGGGGGGGGGGGTGAAGGGGAATATTGGGGCAACACAACAACACAGTAGAAAAGTATCCGCACGCTGGAATTGAACGCGACACAACTGAACACACACACCTGTGTCGGGTTGACACGTTTGCCAGTGGGCAGCGCCGTCTGTCGGGGTGCTTCGGACAGAGGAGCACTGGCGCTGCGCGAGACGCCCTCCACCTTATTTAAGAACCCTGAGCTGTTACAACATTGTGAAAGGTTGCCAACATTCCTGTGCGAATGTGAATGGCAGCGGACATGTTTTGACTGCAGCTCTCGCTCTCTTTCCCAGAATTCATATGACGAAGGAGGAGAGAACGCAATTGGGAGGTCAAACGGTCAAATTCCCGTTTGCGTTCCAGCATCCGAGAATATTCGATTCCCCACACTTCTTGGGAACGGGCTCCGTCGCATGGAAAGCGCCTTGTTGACGGTGATCACCATGAAAGGCACGGGCTTGTTGCTGTGTAAACCGCGCGAGGGTCTTCTCACACTGGCTGTTTGTGTGCACTGACGGGTACGTCGCCCGGCCCGAATGTTTACAGTGTAACAGCACATTCCTGGCCAGCATCGGCCTTTGAAGTTTTGCCACGGTCGGCGAATGTGCCGCCCGCAAATGACGATGTCAAAGCAAGTAAAGTAGGCAACTGGAATGTTGGAATGGTAATCAATATCGCTCCGGTTCTGAATGAGGCCAAACGCTCGTTAAGAGCAAAGACTTGGATTTGGATTTCTGTGGACTAAGGAACTAAGACACTAAGAAACACGAGGAGAATAATGAACGTAGAGTCCGTACGGCGAGGTATTGATCATCGGACCTCCTCGGGGCAGACAAGCGGTGCACTGATCGATGGAGTAACTTATCACCACCAGCTACCGACGTTGGCAGTTTTGAGAGCCATCCTTGTTTGTTGAGGGGACTTATGTTTAAAACCACAGACACGAACCTGACCACATGTTTCAGCCACACGTTGCTGCTGTGGGCCTCATTGAAAAGTCAGTTTAATGAGACGTGACGCCAGTGCCATGATGTCTACTCTAAACATAGTTTACAGAAGATCTTGCAGAAAATATGCAACATGCAATTGTTCTATTCTACATTCGTATGTGGACTAATGATACATTTTAGGATTCTTAAGTTGCTCCTCCCCATTGAAAGCATTTGACAAACTTGTATGGATATGTACGTGATAGTAGTGTGGCAGTGCATTTTTTTCAACTCCTGACAAATGCCCCCTATAGAGATGACATAGTTAAAGTCTACCTCAATAACTCTGGATTATTCACACATGCAGATCCTCTGAGACACCAAACATGAGGCAAGCACCGAACGCTCCACCTCGGGAAACATGTGTTCTTCGTTCGTTGCCTTGGGGGGTATTAGATCTGTTAACTGTTCTACAAATCTCTACACACACACACACACACACACACACACACACACACACACACACACACACACACACACACACACACACACACATCAGGAAACATTTATTAGCCAAAATATGTCAAACATACAAGGAATTTGTCTTGGCGGTTAGTGCGCGACAGTAGACAGACAAGACAGCAGTGCACAGGTAATAAAATAAAGTAAAATGAAATGCTAATGCAATGGGTTAGTAGAATAAGGCTAAGGGTTAGTATAAAACAAGGGAATAAAGTTAAAAAAATTTAAATATTAAAAAGTTAAGAAAAATATTAAGCATAAAGTGCACTAACGAACAAGTAACAGACAAGTAACAAAGTGACGAGTGACGACAAAGTGATGAATTGCAGTTAAAGTGGCATGTGCAGTGTGAAGGGGAGTGACCGGTGGAGTGTTATAGTCAGTCAGTGGGGGACCGGCTCTGTTGATGAGCCCGACTGCCGACGGGAAGAAACTGTTCGTGTGGCAGGAGGTCGTAGTCCTGATGGACCTCAGCCTCCTCCCAGATGGAAGGGGCACAAACAGTTTATGTCCGGGGTGAGAGGGGTCGGCCGCGATCTTTTTAGCTCGCTTCAGAGACCTGGAAGCGAACAAGTCCTGCAGGGACGGCAGATTGCAGCCGATCACCCTCTCTGCGGAGCGGATGACCCGCTGAAGCCTGCCCTTGTCCTTGGCTGTGGCTGCAGCGTACCAGACGGTGATGGAGGAGCAGAGGATGGACTCCATGATGGCCGTGTAGAAGTGGACCATCATCGTCTTTGGCAGGTTGAGTTTCTTCAGCTGCCTCAGGAAAAACAACCTCTGCTGAGCCTTCTTGGTGATGGAGCTGATGTTCAGCTCCCACTTGAGGTCCTGGGTGATGATGGAGCCCAGGAAACGGAAGGAATCCACAATAGTGACGGGGGAGTCACACAGGGTGATGGGGGAGGGTGGGGCTCTGTTCCGCCGGAAATCCACAACCATCTCCACTGTCTTTAGAGCGTTGAGCTCCAGGTTGTTCTGGCTGCACCACGACACCAGATGGTCAGACTCCCACCTGTAGGCGGACTCATCCCCACCAGAGATTAGTCCAATGAGGGTGGTGTCATCCGCAAACTTCAGGAGCTTGACGGGCTGGTGGCTGGAGGTGCAGCTGTTGGTGTACAGGGAGAAGAGCACAGGAAACGTACGACTGAAACAAAGTAAAATAACTAACTCGTATGTGTTTTAAAACACATGATGTACTATTATGGGGATTATTATTGTGATATAATTTAATTTTTTATAGGTAGAAAGGTCTGCGATTTTATTGGGACGTCCCTGATAAAATAGGGGTTTCAATGGGAAAGCAGTTCACACACATAAACATGCATTCCACAGGCCCCAGTCTGAAAAATAAGGTAATATAACGGGTATTATCAACAAAAGTAACCTACAGAAACCCCAGATACCTACAAGAAGACTCAGAAACAATGTTAAATACGACAACAAGCATAAACTGGCAACACATTTAAAGCACAACATCGCCACCTACCGGAACACTTCAGGGCCTACAGGAGGCCGTGGCACTTTTTCCTTATCAGCCTATTTTGGAACTTTCATAGGACCACATTCATTTTTCCCCCTTATATTTTCTATTAATTAACTGCTACATGACTTTTTATTTTATTAATTAGTCTGTTGATGGAATTGGTGTAATGGCAACTGCCAGTACGTCGCCCGAGAGTGACGCAGGCATGTGTGCGCACAACTTAAGGACTAAAACTAGGTGGGCCTCGGGTCTTTTCTTTTTATGTTGAAGTGAACTACTAGCTGTATTTACTTTTTTCCCCCTGTGCTACTTTCACCTTGGGTCTGCAGGGTTTTTAGAGATTCCTATAAAGCATGGTTGGATGTTCGCAATATAAAACATTTCAACTCCCAT